GAGAGAGAGAGAGAGAGAGAGAGAGAGAGAGAGAGAGAGAGAGAGAGAGCGGGAGGAGCTGACAAACATGCCTCTCTCAAAACTGAGTTAAACCGTGGAGAGTCCCTCAGCCTTCGCACAGCAGAGGGGGCACGGCCCGTCGCAAACGTGGACCCCACTACGGCAAAGCAGCAGCGCACACGGAATTTGCTGCGATAGGGTCGTTGTGACGAAACCCTCCCTCTTCTTCCTTCCCTTCCCATGGCCAGGTGATGATGTGGCTGGATATCCTAACCCTGCCGCAGGCCCGCCGCTATCCACCAGTCACCATGGAGCCGCCTTCACCGCTCAAGGTAGACCAGCAATAATTACTGGCGTTCCACACGAGCCCACCTTGACGAGCACACCATCGGAGGATTTTGGGATGGAGAGAGAGTGCATACCCAACGAGCTACTTGGTAGGCTGAACTTACGTATATGACGACACAATAAGAGGCTCCAAGGCCCGGAAGCGTTCAGATTCAGACACGCTGCTTTGATGTCATGGGTGGTGGCAACCTAGTGCGTCTCGTTCCTGATGACAAACAAAACGTCTGTCGTTGCACGGAGAGAGACGTGGGGTGTGGGATTGAGGGCGGCAGCGAGGGAGAGCGAAAGAACCACCGCCAGCGAGGTAGCTCATACCATTGTTTCCCACTGCCTCCCGGCTTCGACCATATCTACGCTCACGCCGAAGACGGTTTCTGACCAACCCCAGAGGGTGGCCTTGCCTTCTTAGCGGAGCGGGCGTTACGCCGATCGTAGTTTGCGCACGCACAAACTGCTATGAGGCAATAATCAAATCATGCAAAACCAAACATTGCAGGTGGAAGTCAGGGTGGTGGTCTGGAGGAGCGAAGACGTGGTTGCCTGTAACGACTTCTCTGGCCTACGAGACCTATACTGCCGAATGTGGATGGAGACAGACTCAAAGAAGAAGAGAGACACGGACACGCATTGGCGGTGCCGGAACGGGAAGGTTGGACGTCACATCGATAGATTTGATCCGACACCGCCAGACTGTATCTACGGTACCTAGCGATGGCGTTGCTGTTGTTGTTGTTTCGGTTGTGGCTGAGTCTCACGCAATGCCGCAAAAAACACCTAGCAAGTGGTGTACCTGTTCGTTCATCTCATGAACGGGGGCACCAAGTGCGCATAGCCAAATCAGTTCAACCGAGCGTTCGCGGCTTCTCTACCTTGGTTTACAGTTTGTGATCAGTTGAAACGAGGGAGGAAACAACGCCTGCGTGTCGTAAAAACAGAAGAAACACCCACGACTACTATAGCAGCAACACCACCACCACCATCCTTACCAACACCCAATAGTAGCAACACATGACCTCCCAAGCTTTGCGGGAGAGCTCAACTAACCGCGGGGGTTCATGTACTGCGGACAATACCGTTTCGCCGCTCCATCTCCCTCCCCCTTCTTCCTTGCCCATTTACACCCTCCTCTGAGTATAGGTCCCTCTTCATGATCGAAACCGTCCGTTCCGATCCCCTCTCTCTTGTCGTCCTCGTCCGTGCCTTCAAAGGGGTCATGGAATTACCGCCTGAAGTTCGATGTGGACCTCCCGCTCAAGAGCCCCGAGCATGGCCGAATGGTGCTGCAGGTATCTACGTAGATTGATGAAGGCGGTAGGGCGAAGCAGCGCCTCTGAAAAAATCAGAAAAGGCATACAACGGTACCATGAGGGCGGCTTCGATGCGCGCCTATAGCATCGCCTTCATGTGGATTCAACATTGTCAACCATCGGTGTCAGAATCGCGTTGGTCTTTTCAATTTTCGCACGTGATACCGTGGCCTCGAACGCAGGAAGTTTACCCCCCGTTCGACTGCCCAGCGCGCACATTTTACCTTTGAGGAGGACCCGGACCGATATTATGTCCACTGAAAACCCTCGTCGTTCCAATGGAACACGAGAAAACATAGGATCTTCAACGAAGACACCGGCATCAGGTACAAGGTCAGCGGCACCGTAACGAATGTCGGAGAAGCCGTGCTTATTCGTTGCGGTGCACCTGACATTGTACCTGATGCCGGAGTCTTCATTGAAGATCCTGTTTTTTCTGCGTTCCTTTGGAACAGCGAGGGTGTTCAATGGACACGATATCGGTCCTACGGGTCCTCCCCCAAGATAGAATGTGGGCACGCTGAGTCAGCCGAACGGGAGGATGTAGGCTTTCGGGACATCTCTAGGCCACGAAGACCCTACCGCCCGCTCTCTGTTCGTAGAACATGTGAGCCTTCGCAGTTCTCTCTCGCATCGAACACGTCCTTTCGAGTCTGCTCGCTTACAGAGAACGAAGCATGTAAACAGTACAACTCGGAGCGAGATTTTACTGCTATTCCTTTACCCTGAACCATGTCGACCTGCCCGAAGCCGAACATCGAAATCGAAAAGCATCGAGGAGGCTAGTCGCTTGTAACGCATCCTCATGCAAATGATGACCAGATGTGGGATCGCGACGTGCTCTCGGCGAACGACATCATCGCCGAGACGTCCATTGATCTCTACCGCTGGTTTCTTAAGGTGTGCAAACACAGATGCCTGTGGGACATAAATACGGTAGGTTGTGTGGAGCGTGTTGTTGTGGTTGCACATGTCTGACCGGTAAGCCAGGCGTCCGCCCGCAAAGGGATGGGTTATGGCAGTAAATGACCGTAGGTTTCGACGAAGAAAGCGACAAGAGCATGGAGCTAAAGCGTGAGCAACAACGAAACCCACAACAACAACAACAACAACAACAACAACAACAACAACAACAACAACAACAACGACGATGATGACGCGCCGACGACACAATCACCCAGGTATACCGGGAGCAGCGATCAACAAAGCCTTTCCTCGTAGTCAAGGAGGCCAGAAAGCAGAAGGCGCACGAGGAAGCCATGGCCTTTGTCTCAGGGGTGCCCACGCCCGGTGTGTGCATGTCTGTGTGCCTGACACATTTGTTGGAGAGATATACAAGGAGGGCGGGAGGGAGGCTAGCAGGTAGAGAGGGAAATAAAATGGGAGAGAGAAAGAGCGAGAGAGAGAGAGCGACCTTGCGTGGAAGCGTAATAGCCCTATTGCAGCGCCAAAAGTTGTGTTAGTCTGTCTTGGGGTCAGGGTATCGAAGACGCACTTCGTCGTGTCCACTGGGTGTCATTCGTGTCCATACCAATGTGCGCAGGCCGAGGTACTGGCCTCGGAGGGGTGGCAGGGGCGAAGAGGAAGGCCGGCCGAAGCAACAGGCGCGGTGATCGCCGGTACGTACGTAGGGGTGCAGCAGGTTGGCCGTCAACGGCGTACCCAGGTTATTCTTATCTGGCCGTTCAGTTTGGGCGTCGATTCGATGCTGATTTTAGTCAGCTTGGGACGTTGATGCTACGCGATCACTCCGTATTAAACGTCTGGCACAAAGGACCGCGTTGTCGGAAAAATAGAAACCTCGTCCACGAAGAACCACACGCATGGGGATGCGGGGATGCGGCACGTACTCATAAAGACTTGAGAGAGATAGGGAATCCCTGTGCTTTTCTCACTGAGTGTGATTATTTTGCTTGCGTCGCGTAGGCTGTTCCCCGGTCTCGATACTACCCTTCTCCAACCCCGGCGGGGTTCATCGTATTGTCAGTCTTCGTTTTTCTGTGGAAATGGCTTGGGCCTCATTGTGCCGTTTCTCCCATGGCCCCGAAGCCGGGTAATCTTGTAATAGAGCCACAGAAGCGCAGAGCCACACCCCACCCGCTCGACGCCTGTAGGGCACTTGATCGACAAATATTGGCCGCGGATCGTGCACAGACGGGGAAGTATTCGCCCGCTTTTCCAACCCCTAGTCGGTTTGTTGGTGGTGACCTCTCATGGTCAACCGTGAGTACGTATGAAGAACGACCTAAACACCTGCACCACCCCTCACGTGACGCGATGATTGAAGAGGAAGACGGCCGGGTGACACAGCCAAGGGGAGAAGAAGGAATATCAAGCGAAACAGCGAATTGGGAACGAATGCACAATGGGTGGGGGGACGCAACAGCAGCATCGACAACGATGACGATAGCGAATACGATGACGACGACGACGACGGCGGCGGCGGCTCCAGCAGCAGTAACGCTGAAAACAGCGGAAGCGACGGTTTGCGGCGTGCGTTCGGGCGTGCTTCCAACATCAGACCTGCGGTGGATGACGAGTACAGCGATGATAGTGACGGCGGCGACGACCGAAGCGTTGAAACCGGGGCAGACTCATCGGTGTCCACTACCGAAGACGATGGCGAAGACCAATCGGACGAAGAGAATCAACCGCTGTTAGGGTCGGCGGGGGGAGACAGAGAAACGAAGCAGTCGACAGAGGCCGCCCAGGTACTTTATTACAGATAAGGTAGTTTATTGCAGATAGGGTAAGAACCCCCCTTCCCCCCCCGTACTCTCAATGTCGGCGTGTCTGTCGTGCACGTCTCTCTTCGACGGGGAAGATGCTATTACTTCCCACGTATCGTTGGAGCCCATGTCATCGAGGAGAAGTCGCGCGTCACCGTGGAGCGAAATTCATGAAATCGCAACGCCGAACACGGCCCGACACTCACTGCTGAAATAGGAGAGAAGTATCGCGCTAAATGCTGCCGCTCTAAACCTGACGATGTTTACGTTGCAACAAACACGCACGAAAACCACTCGGCTACGCTGGCGTAACGGATGGCGATGACGAAACACACGCGAGTGAAGGCTGCGATGGTGCGGAGACCGGAGATTGACGAGACGGACGAGGTCGTCAGTACCATAAAGGTGTGTGCGTGGATTGCTTCATCATGCCTGGTCGCCATACTCGACCGGCATGGAGTGACTGCGGGTGTCGTTCTGCATCCATGTTTGAAGCAGGGCATTGGTGAATCTGTGGACACGATTCATGAAGCGGTTCGATTCAAAAACCTTTTACAAGAGCCCGAAGCAACCAGAGGTATCCATCCCCATCACCACCACAACCGCCACCAATCGACACCAAATCTCATACGAACCGGCGCCCAAAGGAATGGTTTGGCATCGGAAAAGCACCAGCGGACGCTCAGTGGCTGGAACTGACGAGACGCGATGCGGAGGCAGGAACCGTAGAGAGAATTGGTAAGTCAACGTGTATTGCGATTCTCTGTCTGGCGCGATGGGATGCGGCGATTAATAAAACTGGCGGCTTCCCAATTCTTTGAGCTTTCATGATCTGGGCGGTAAGCGCTTGCCCGTGCATGTCGACGCCGACGTGAGCGCTTGCCGCACAAACTGTCCCACACTTTTTCACACACGCTTTCATTCTCCTTTCAGATACCGCTTACCATGATAGTCGGAGAGATGGCACCGGGTGCGATCGTTATGTTCAGTAATTTTTTCCTCGTTTTTTTTTATCGCGCCCCGGTGCCATCTCTCTGACCCCGGTGCGGAAATGCAATTAAATCAGCTCGATTAGTATTTTCGAGGCACCCCGGTGCGATCTCTCAAACGGGTGCGATCCCCGATGAAAAACACACAGGTGTTGTACGCACGCACGCCGGTGCCATCTATGTGTACTACTGTAGTATTGATATCCGCATAGAACCACATATAGGCACCGTTGCTGGTTGGAAGCACGCCGGTGACGGCAACGTAGGCTGGTACGTATCCGCTTGCCATGCAACGAGTGGTCTGTTGTTTGATGCGAGTTCGGCTCAGGCTTGACGACAACATACAATGTCGTTTTCATCTGAGGTACCGGTTCATTCGATATCAGTTGTCTCCCGCTTTCTGTTCAGGCTTCCTCTACGGATACCAGTACGTACGCAGGAGTCACATACAGGTAGTTTTTTCGTGTTGTGCAAGGTGAGGTAGGGTGCGGCTTGCGCGTTGCATGTCTCGTTGAGTGTACAGTGAGCAACTTCCATACCAATAAAAAATTGAAAACAAATAGGCATCGCGCGTGAAACCGCGACCATGCATACGCACATACAGGAGTGGCGCTCCGCTCACACCCTCCCCACATGTATAAGGTACGCACATGTACTTCATTCCGGCAGCCGAAAAGGAGCTCAATTGTGGATTTGGAGGTCGGAGAGATCACCCTGGGTACGATCTCTCCGACTCCGTGCGTAAATCGAATTAAATCATACCGTTCTGGTAGTTTTCTGCGTTCCCCGGTGCCATCTCACCGACCGGTGCCATCTCCCCGACTAATACGGTACACAACTTATCCGCACCTCCTCGTAGCGCTGCCCAAACCTATCGAGCTGTTGCTGAGCCACCCGATATCAACAAAACAACTCATTCACAAAATACTCCGTCACTTTCCTATGCATGTGGTGGTGGAAGGGTAGGTTGTATAATGCTGGGTGAACAGTCTTAGCTCCGAAAACAAGGGGGTGGCTTGCAGGATGTGCGCCGCGCAAACACGGTCAGCCACTCACAAGGCAGATGGTGCTTGTTACAGTCAATGGAGTAAAACGTACCAAAGCACAAGTCAAGTCGTTCGAACGCATCATCCCAATAAAAGGTAGTAGACAATGACGACCAAACATGTGTGTCAGTAGTAGTCCCGCGACACATCGCAACGATTCGCGTTTGGTTCCTTCCGGACAGAAGTAGAACGGTCTAAATATCTCGGCGTTCTTTTTCCCAACTCTACTCGTTCGCGACCCCAGTATGGCCAAACGGTGCACTGGCATGCACGAATACGACCATCCCCGTTTTCCCCCTTACTTCTGCTGTCACTTGCTCAATGAGGAGGACCATCCCAGTTTTTCCCCTCACTTCTACTGTCACTTGCTCAACATTTGCCCAGGCAAGGTGCTCATCTCTCTGGAGCTCCTCCCCAAGGAGACCGCGGATGCCCAGCCGGTTGGGGCCGGGAGAAATGATCCCAACCAAAACCCGTACCTGCCCCCGCCCGCCGGACGCATGAAGTTTTCCTTCAACCCCTTCCGCCTCTCGATGTCACTCCTCGGACCGAAGGCTTTTTACAAGGTTAGAAAAAGAAATAGTTGATTTTTCTTCCGTGTTCAAACGAAAACGGAAGGATGACACGTGGAGAACATAACCAGGAGGCTGGAAAGAAAAGAGATGAAAGTGAAATGTTCCAAATTGAGAAATGAAACGTGACAAAGGAGTAGTAGACAAATGAATGGACATTCGAAATGACTGGAGTGGATGCTAACACTCCTTCCGCTTTTTGATGATAGCGAGTGCTCCAGGTTCTCTCAAAATATCTCAGGCAGGAACCGCAGGAGGGGGTCCAACCCCCCCCTCCTATGTGACCCCGGTTGGGTCGTCTAGCTGGTAGAAGTGGAGGATAGGGGCCAGAAGGGCAGACGACAGAGTCCAATAATGGGAGAAAAACAAACAAACAAAAAAACTGTCGTTCATTGGCGGTGCGTTCGAACTTGAACCAACAATTGGAAGAATTGATTTGCATCGTGAAGAGGGAGGAATAGAGTGAAACAAGAGAGAAGAAAACAGGTTCAATGTTTTTTCTGCCGTCGCCCCTAGAGTTCTAGCGACAGATCCTGTCGACGTGTGCGAAATATATTTGCTAGCATACAAGCTGTGAATAGGGATGTTAGGCCAAGTCCGTAGCCTGGGCGTAAAGTGGGGTGGGGCTTGGGCTGCACTGCACTTTAACCAGAAAACAGCGGCGAATATGTGACGTTATGAATACTTTGGAGTACGATAGAACAATCCCGACTTCGGATGGTAGTTGTCGTCCTCACAGCTATGAGGGCGGGGAGGATTGAGCTCCTCTACCTTAAATTTCCATGGGCCCAATCTCTGGGTTCAGTTGCCTCCCTACCGGCAATGCACCGACATCAGTCCTGGTTGATCTGTTCGCGTGTTCCGCAGGTGGTCTGCTGCTGCGTCTGCGTCATCCTCGCCGCCTTCATCGCGGTAGCAGGAAACTACATCACAACCTTTGAGAGTCTTTTCTGATTGTTCCTCTGATTTAGGAGTCGTGTACAACGTGTGGAAGAGAGCGAACGTGCGTCTTCGTTGTTGTTGGTGGTGTCTTCGAAATAGCTCCGGATGCTCTTTCTTTGTCGACTTTGAGAGCAATTTCGTGCTGCCAACCATTCGCCGCCTTGCTTGCCATGACGACAGTGGCGGGCGGTGTTGGTCGAGACTACTGGTGGAGTTTATCGTAGGAGCAACGCAACTGGATGCATCTCGAACATCCAGGTAGAGAGGGAAGCAGCGTCACGCATGCTGCGAGGTGGCTTGTGCCAAGCGCACGTCGTGACGTTCTCGAGGGACCACAAACTGCTGTGTTGCCTTCAATGCACTCAACCTACAAAAATCGATTCTGGCATTGCTGTACACGGGTGGACGCTACCCTCCCGTTGGACAAGGTTCCACAACTAAAAAAGGTTTGGCCTTGTGCAAGGTAACCCCCCAAGAAAGTGCATTTCAGACAAGGTCCGAGAAATCGACCATGTTGGACAACGTCTCCCAACCCAAAACCTTGGGCAAGGTTCAGAATTTTCGAGAGGGTTGAGCAGGGTTCGAGGGAACAGGGTTGCCGAAAGTTCGAAAAAAATTGGGCCTTGTGCAAGGTAAAACAGTGCACACTAGGCAAGGTCAGAAAAATCGACAATGTTGGACAACGCCCCCCAACCCAACTTTGGGCAGGGTTCAGAGATTCCGAGAGGGTTGAGCAGGGCTCGAGGGAAAGGGGTTGCCCAAGGTTCGAAAAATAATTGGGCCTTGAGCAAAGTAACAAAGTGCACATTAGACAAGGTCCGAAAAAACGACCACATGTTAGTCAACGTCCCCCAACCTAACCTTTTGGGCAGGGTTCAGAGATTCCGAGAGGGTTGAGCAGGGTTCGAGGAAAAAGGGTTGCCCAAAGTTCGAAAAAAAAGAATGGCCTTGTGCAAGGTAAACACGTGCACCTTGCTGCAATCCCGAAAAAACGACCATGTTGGACAACATCCCCCACCCCAACCTTGTGGAGGACTCATCTAAGAGTTTGGACCCATCTACTGCAATTACTCCACCTCTCGCACGAAACAAGAAGGACCTGACACGAGCACCGCCTCAACTACTTGTTTGCTCGTCCATCGCGCGACTACAAGAGAGTGCCGACCCAAACCAACCCAACCAGTCAACCGAAAACTCCCAAACAAACCTTCACGCGTAATCAACTCTCCACCTGCACCACGCACGCTTTGACGAAGCTGGCCCGTTCTCTGATTGCTTGTCCATCCTCAGCTTGAGGCGTCCTCCACAACGAAAATTTAACAGGACGCTTGTTTGCAGTGAGATCGTTCCAAAATCCCGGCCATTAGGTGGTACAAGCTGGGCCAGCCAAGAAGCTAACATTCAGTCTTCCAGCCATAAATCTTGAAGGAATCAGAATTGGAACGAGCTCGGCACATCTGCTCAATCAGTCAATCACAACGGATTTGCCCATGCCTCTAGAAATCCTGTTGGACGCGTTCTCTCGAACGAAGATAATCCTCCGCATTTTATCTGGGTTTTAGAATTGGAAAAATACTATGAAACGCTTTTTTTTGCGGCGGAATTTCACTTAAAAATATTTTTGTGCACAACGGATGCACATAGCACCCGCTGGCACCGAGGAGTGCACAGCATGGAGAGCCTAGTAGCAGCAGTCACACGCAATGGCTGGCAGAGAACCTCTGAACCCGTATGCTATCCAGAGAGGTCTAAGGGGAAGTGGCGGCTACGGCTCATGTTCACAAGCCGGAAAGGAGACAGGGCAACGAGGAAGCACGGCCCCTTGTGCAACACAGAGCAGGAAGCTCTTGGGGGCAGCCTTGCCTTCAGGTACAGCTGGGAGGGCAGCCAACGTGGTCAGCCCTGCAAGGTCAGCGAGCAGAATCTAGTCCCACCTGTTGCAGCGGGTACTAAGCTTCCAGCAGGCAAGTCGTGAACTGCGTACAGTTGTACACTTGTACAAACACGATGTGGACATGATAATGCAATTTTGAATTTTTTGTTTTTTCTGGGGTCGGAGCAACGGCAGCACACGTGACACCAGTGCCAGCTACTACTGCTGTACCTACTGCACGCAGCCAGTCATGCCGCAGGCTGGACTTACGTCGAGTATGTTCTTCGGGGGACGTGAAGTAGGTGGCACTGTTACAAAAGAGATGGCGGCGTATGTTGATTGTACACGGCCACATTTTTTGTGAGATGTATGTGGTCGTCAGCCGGGATTTTTGAATTTTCGACGGCATGCTTCGCACGCACAAGTGTAATCGCCCAGCGTGATATCCACGTCCACATGAGTTGCCTTCATCACTCGTCTGTTGTTCTGGTACTAGAGGCGCCTACAGCAGTACGCACCACATTTTTTGCTACGATATGGTACCTGTACACCCCGATGTGTTTGCTGCAACGATGTGCTGCCGTATATGACACAAGATAACACACACACCTGGACGGATTGTGAAAGCTCGATTCATCAACAGCAGAACGAGTCGCAACGCCGAGAACGGCGGTATTGAAGCCGTCTTGTCCAGAGCTCTCCGGAAACGTATCGTGTTGTTCATGCATCCTCTTCGTCGTGGAGTAATCGAGCTCCAGCGTGGAAATCGCCACAGGGGGTGTGTTATCATGTGTCGTACTTCGGTCTGAAAGTAAAACTCTGCATGAAAATGCGCCGATGTCGTCACACATTCGCGAAAGGTTGACCGGTTGTTGCACCTCTACACATCACGTACTACTTTNAAACGTATCGTGTTGTTCATGCATCCTCTTCGTCGTGGAGTAATCGAGCTCCAGCGTGGAAATCGCCACAGGGGGTGTGTTATCATGTGTCGTACTTCGGTCTGAAAGTAAAACTCTGCATGAAAATGCGCCGATGTCGTCACACATTCGCGAAAGGTTGACCGGTTGTTGCACCTCTACACATCACGTACTACTTTGGTGATCTCCAACTCTAAAATACTTGCTGCAAGTACTGCTGTAGTGCACAACAACGAATAACAATGTGCCGCACTGCCTCGTGCTTCAAACTTCCAACCGCCGCTCAAGCAGGAAAATCGCTCAACAGCCTTGGGATCATGGGCCGACCACAGGAACAGCAGTTCAAGCGGCAGCGGCGGGCTGGCTCCTACGCGACCCGCGCGGAATTTGCGGTGCAGCAGATGCTCACCAGCCGCGAAAAACGCTCGATATGCACCCACACCTACCCGTCCAATCAAAGGGGTACAGTCAGCATCTGTGCGCCTCTTGCCATCAGGCCGCTTTCGCCCCCCTTGTCACGGGCTGTGAGGCCCTCATTTTCCTACACGTTTTCTGCTCCTGCACCCAGGTATCGAGGTCAATACTCAATTTTCTATTTCCGAGCCCGTTTTCACGAACTAGAAGCTGAAATTTTGACATGTGATTGGAATTGGTCTTACAAATGCCCCCGAGTCAGGTGCCGTTTTTTTTTTTATAGCCACAAAAACCCCTTTGTTGGGATTCTCAGTTATTGAATATAGGGATACCTCACAAAAAAAACAACGCACCTGACTCGGGGGCGTTTGTGAGACTGTTTCCAATCACACATCAAAATGTCAGATTCTAATTCGTAAAAACCGGCTCGGAAATTGCTTCTAACCATTTTGTTGACTTCTTGGCTGGCCCAGCTTGTAGAACGTCCTTGAACGACGGCACCGGGACAAAGAAAGCACACAAAGAAAAGCCTGACAGCGGTGGCGGAGGTTTCAGACAATGTACTACTCTCAAACAACCGCGGCACGTCGACTATGACGAATCTCATCCTCCAGGGGGATATCCGCACCCCAAACCGTCAAACAAGCGCAAAAATCACCAAAACAATATCATAATTCCACACTCCATCACCACAAGCGCAAATCGGCGGACAATGAAAAAGGCAACCCGAAGGAGCCGCACAGACCAAGTTCGCTAGATTACCGTAAGGTTGCGGGTTAGCGCACGGTTCGGGGTTTCCGCACGGTCCGGAGTCGTTGCAAAGGGGTGCGATGAAAATTTAATTCGATTTCCGCACAGGGTCCGACGTTACCGCACAGGGGTGCGATGACTCGCAACCTACAGTAGGGTAGTAGTGGAGTGCGAGCGATTTCGGGGCAACTTCACCCGTGCAATTAGGCCAGTGCTGGCCAATGGCAACTTTCACCCCTGCAACCATGCCAGTGCTGGCATGTAGCTCTGCTGTATGGGTAGGTAGATCATCGTCGCATAGTGTGAAGGAAATGACACACATTGGTATTTCCATGGGATCGGTAAACTTGAGCATTGTCCATTCAACCAAAACACCAGAAGAAAAAGAGCAGCCATCAGCCAAAACAACTAACAGCAGTAAGTACCATGGAACGGCCCCATCGAACAGCAGCACTATTGTACCTGTGTTCTACGGAGTACTTCTTTCGCTACGAAATAAAACTCAACCCCGTCACTACCAGAAACACCGAACAGCGCCAACCTCCGTACTGCTGGAATTCACACACAAGCATGTTCGGGCAGCCAACCTGCCACTACTGGTACAACACAAGAGAGCGCGAGCCAAAACGTTACAGATCATCCCCTCCCGCAGCCCCAACCCATGGCCCATCCAACAGCTCTACATCGCTGTCGCCGTCTATGATCTCCACTTCATCGTCACTGTCCCCCTCGGGAGGCAGCAATTTCGCGGTGACCTCCTTCTCTGCAGTCGCGATCGGGTTGGCGCTAGATGCAGATGACACCTCGGGTAGCTGGAGCGGCGGGAGAGTCAAGCCGGGGTGTTGTGCTTGCCACTCGGCGCGCTGCTGGACTAGAACCTCACGGTAGCCTTCACCAAGTTGTGGGTGCACCACGCGTCGTCCTCGCTACCGTCGAGCGCAAACATGAGGCCGCACACCTTGAAGCACATCTTGAAGGTTTCGGGGGTGATAGCTGCCGATGACTCCTTGCACCACGTCGACACGAGCACACGCCCCGGCGGTTGAAGCTTGCCCGTCTTGGGTCTGCGATCGCCGACGCCATGTACTGTGTGTACCGCCCCCGCATCAATCGCTTCATCTCTTTGTTCAGCATGCGATCCAGCGGCTGAAAAAGAGGAGTCAACCCGCCCGGGATGAGGATGACGATGGTGTTTGTCCTCCTCCGGAGGTCCTCGATGAAGGATTCGCTACGGTGGCACCTGAAGTCGTCCAACACCAAGATGCTGTGCCGCTACTTGATGACGCTCCCGTGGTTAGGCCGAAACCTCCAGCTTTCGGACAGCCACAGGATGCACTCGCGCGCGTCACACCAGTTTTTCTCCTGCACGCCGAAAGACATGCCGGACACAGGGTACCCGAACTTGGTGCGGTTGGCAGGAAGGCTCTCGGCCGCAATGGAGCCCTTGCGGGGCTGTGTGTTCCTTCCCCGGCCCGCCGTGCTAGGCGGGATGAATGGCTTGCCCTTGAAAATGATTTGCAGGGGAACCTTGCCACCGTCCGCCATGACAGCAAGACATAGCGTGAAACGGTCTTTCTCTTTTCCTGCGGGGAAGAGAGGGGGAGCACGTGTACGGTNAAGACATGCCGGACACAGGGTACCCGAACTTGGTGCGGTTGGCAGGAAGGCTCTCGGCCGCAATGGAGCCCTTGCGGGGCTGTGTGTTCCTTCCCCGGCCCGCCGTGCTAGGCGGGATGAATGGCTTGCCCTTGAAAATGATTTGCAGGGGAACCTTGCCACCGTCCGCCATGACAGCAAGACATAGCGTGAAACGGTCTTTCTCTTTTCCTGCGGGGAAGAGAGGGGGAGCACGTGTACGGTGGGGAGAGGGGGAAGCTTTCGATGTTCAGCGACTCAAGCTTGAGGCTGGTGTAGTACACTTCGACAGCACGAATCAAGGAACCACACAAGCACGCGAACGCAATACAAGCGCAAAAGCAATATACTGTAACATTCGCAGGGGGAAAGGTGGGGCGCGAAAACAAACATTTGTATATTGAAAAAAGCTGTGCGATCTCGGCTGACATATAATATGTTTACCAAAGAGGATAAACAAAAAACGACCCATCGACTGGTGCCAGCAGAGACGGGACGAACACACACACACATAGCGCGGTCGATGCTAAAAAAATAGACAAACACAGGCATCGGTAAGGCACGTACAGTGATTGGTATGGGTATTATAGGTGAAGTCTCACCTCCCGTGCTGATGCGTGCATCCTTTGCACCGCGCTTCTCCAGAGTTGTTTCCACTGGCATCTCCTGCTGGACTGGCGTTTGGTCCATGTTGCCGAGTTCTTCGAACACTTCCGCGGCAACCGACTCTAGCTGCGCGGGACTGAGGTCCTTCCCTTTGATGGGGCTCTCGTCAGGTGCCGGCGGGTGGCGCCGAGCGTAGATCTCACCGGCGCGCTCCAAGAGGGCCGTACGAAGCTTCATCAACGTCGCGAACGCCAAACCCTCGTACCCCGTCGGTAGCTTTTGTCCCACGTTGGTGTGCCGGCGGATGCTGACACCGCGCCGTTCGCGGAAACGATGGTGCCAGTTCTTGAACTTGGTCTTGAAAGCCAATGTCTCCTCCGCCGACGCAGCGGTTGTCAACCCGCCGAGAGCGTCAGGCTTCAGCTCAAGCAGCTGTTCATGACTTCCATGCTTCCGCAGCCGCGATGTTCCCTACGCTGCTCGTTGATGTAGTCCTCCAGGTCTTGTTCGACCTCGGCTGTCGTAGGTGCCATACCAGCGTGAATCGATTTTGCCTTCGATAATTTAGGCTCTTCCTTCACCAGCTTCTTCATTGTTGCCTCCTCGCCGACCCAGGTGATGATGCGCCTGCGATCCACCCCGAGAAGTTTCGCCGCTCCGGAATTTCCCAATGGTTGACCATCCTCGCAAAGGACTCGCGTGAATGCGGCTGCTTTCAGTTTGAATCTCATGGGGTAGCTCCCTTTCTTTCCTCCGGTCCTCTCGTTGACGAAGTCAGGCTCGGGGTATATGCGCTTTTTGTGGTGTGATGGTGTGAGGTCGTTTGCCGCAAGCATGTCGTCGATGGCCTCACGCGACTGCTGTTGTAGGCACAACTCGACGGCGGGCAAATACCCATGTTTTCCGCCCGCGGCATTTTGAATTTCGCCGCGTTTTATTTCGCCGCTTTTTGGTGTGTGCTTTTATTATTAGCATCGACCGCGCTAACCGGCTGACCAATGAAAAGACATCAGTCTTAGTGCAGTTGATAACACAAAACACTTCTATCTACCATGAACTGGGACCCCGTGAGGGGGCAGCATGGGGGAGGCTAAGCTATCCTTCGGATCAAAAACAGAAACAGCAGCAACAGAAGAAAACTGCACCCGTCTACCAAGGCTATTACCTAGTACTCGAGTTCGTTTAGGAATACTTTCACCAGTATCCTCCTTGTTTTCGCTACCATCATTCTGGTCTCCATTTTGACAAGAAGAATCTCTGGGCAGTTCTTCCCTAGCCCTACGTTTCTTGTTGTGGGGAAGGTCATCTGGCTCAAACCCTCTGCTCTCTTCCACTCCTCCATGTTTTCCTGCTCCATCGTCGTCTTCGTCCTCCTTTCTCCCCTTTCCCTCTCCTTCGTCTTCGTCACTCCCAAAAGAATTACCCTCATTACTATCGTTGTCGCAGAGATCCCAACCGATTGGCCCTGGTGGAAGTTGGTCGATCAGTAGCCCATGACGTTTGAACACATCGCGAG